CTGTCCCCCTGCCAGGTCCACACTGGTCCTGCCTGTCCCCCTGCCAGGTCCACACTGGTCCTGCCTGTCCCCCTGCCAGGTCCACACTGGTCCTGTGTGCCCCCCTGCCAGGTCCACACTGGTGACTCATCTCAGATTCCACACACATTCGGTCTTCCTGGCTGCCCCGCCAGGGAGGCAGGGGGGTTGTGAGGTACTTGACTCCCCAGAGATGTGACACTCCTCCGGCCCAGTCAGCCGATCCGTCCCTGAATCACACACCCCGACCCCTCTTCTCCCCGGTGCCATTTCACATCTGGCTGTCACCCCGTGGTCTGAGTCTGTGCTGGGTCTCTCTGCTCTGACCCTCACGTGGTGCTGGGCCTTGGGGAAAGCCAGCAGCTGCCAACTCAACAGGGACCCTTGGGCCCTGCAGCTCTTGCTGGTGAACCCGGGACACCAGGCCCTCTTGGGGTTTCTCACCACAGAAGGACTGGGAACATGTGTCTCTGGCTCTGCCTGTTGTTGTTTGGATTCAGCCTGGGAGGCTGCCTGCCCCCTCCAAGCCCATCTGAGCAGCCTGGCAAAGTCCTTGGGACCCGTGGTGATGGTCTCCTGCTCCCCCAGATCTCCTCACCACAGAGCCCTCCTGGACAAGGCCCAGAGGCGCACTCAACTCCAGGCCATTGCAACACAAGCCGCTTCCTGGCAGCTAGCGGGGGAGTGGGGAGGATGCCAGTGAAAACTCACGTCACTATTTCCCAGCTACTTTCCAGACCATTCTTGCCAACACATCTTAGGGCAGCCTCCTCGCTCCGCCCTCCCCCAGCTTCTCTGACCTTCCAGAACACTGCCGGTCTCCCCTCCTAGGTCCCATAACGTCTTGTTTCTCCTGTCGCCGACTGACACGTAAACGCTGCCACATCTTCTCAAGCAGAGCGCACACCGCTGGGGTCCGAGGACGGGTTAAGACTCTTCTGCACCTTCTCCTTGCTCAGAACCGGCTGTTACACGCCTTTCCTAACTGCCCCGTTTAAAACCCCAAACAAATCACTCCCCGGCTTCACCCTGTAATATCATTTATGTACTTACTTCACATCTCACCCCCACTAGAAAGTCGGCCTCAAGTAGACAGGGAACCTTTGTTTGTTCACTGATGTTTCTCCAGCAGTTCGAACAGTACCCGGTATACAGCAAGTGTTTAATAAACACATTTGATAGATGACTTAAGTATGAATAACTGAAGGACTGTGACGTCAAATGCTAACATTTCTGAGAAGATGGCCCTCTGGTGTTCCTGCTTTTCACAGAGTATTTTATGTGTTACTCTTTAGGAATTTCAAGAGCATTTGTTTAGGCTCCTAAATCAGTTGTGGGTTTGTTTGTTTGTTTGTTTGTTTGTTTGTTTCTCGACTCAGAAAATCCCAAAATAAAATGTAACCACTTGTTACCACATGGCAGTGACTACGATGTCATTGTTGCGGTGGGCACCATCAGGTAAAATACCACATGTAGCGACCCCCTGGACAACAGATCTGACCCCTGTCGTGTCCTGTGCCAGCCTCACCGTCTCTGATGCCCTTACGCCCACTGCTGCTGTCACCATGTCAAGCCATCTCCATGTCTACTAGGGGTCTTCCCCTCATTTGCTGACCTTGAGTATACAGTCCTGGGGAAGGTGCAGCCAGAATAAACAAAGACGACCAAGCTTTGTCTCATACACCTGTTAGGAGCACACTGTTAAGAGAGGCTATTCCTTGGAAAAGGACGTCAGGCTTGGAGAGGCGGAAGGTCGGTGAAAGAGAGGAAGACCCTCGATGAGATGGACTGATGCAGTGTCTGCAGCACGGGGCTCACGTGTGTCAGAGGTGGTGCGAATGACACAGGAGAGGATGGGGTTCAGATCTGTTGTTCATCGGTTCCCTGTGAGTCATACTCGACGGCATCTAACAACAATATCCAGTGATTATATAGTCTTGTTGAATAAAAGCTTCTCTCCCACAGATTGCGACCGCTAAAGCCACCATTTACTGATGAGGAGTCCAGTCCTTCCGTCCACCAGCTGCTCAACGGGAGACAGATGGGCAGTGTCCTTCCATGAATTTCCAGCCTTGCCAGCTCCCTGGAGGGTCACGTGAGCTGGTTCCGGGTCAACGGCAGTGCCGAGTGGAGCTGGGAGAGGGGAGGTGTGGTGCCTGCTCCCACATCTCGTATGTCGGGGACCCAGGGCTTGAACCCGGGCCATGGAACTTCCCTACTCATAGGTCCTGCCAGCTTCTGCAGGTGCCCACGAAAGCTGGACGTGACTCAGGGGACAGGGCGAGTTTATGGCAGGACAGGCAACTGATAAAAAGAGATTTCCCATCAACCAAGGGTTCAAAACTGGAGGCTGATAAGCAATCTAAACTCCCGTAATCATTAACTGCAGATGAAGCAGGTGTCAGGGCCAAGGAGGGCGTTGTGTGCGGGCCTGCGAGAATTTAAGGCATCAGTGCAGTATTCCGGAGCAAGATGGTGCGTTAAACAGGTGCAGACACGAGTCTGAAGTTCAAGCTGGGGGGCTGGAGATAGAAAGTTGAGGGCCAACATGAATTTGGCAATTAGGAAGCCAAAGCCTAGAATCGACGAGAATCTAGCCGCCCTCCAATTCCACCTTCCTCTTCAGCAATCACAGACACTTGTCTGAAGCCATGGCCTCAGGGCTGCCACCCTTGCTGCTGGGCAGGCAGAGCCCCAGCCCTTGGGTTGTGTGGAGGGAGACGCTGACCAGGGCATTCAGGACCTCCGCCCGCCCAGGGAGGTCCCCTCTTCGGGGCTTCCTCAGGGTCCTACGGGGTTCATGAATGTGTGGCTTCTCACATTGATCTGGTCAGCGCAAGGCTGCTTTAGGACTTTCTGTTTCTCGACTCTCATGGCCAATCAAGTCACCGTTAAGTAGACTCCTCCTTCGTCCAGCCAAGCTGACCTCCAGTCCAGGCCTGGGAGCACTTCGACCTCCTGTCAGTGGCATTGCAAGTCTCTGATCTGAAGCCCAAGACACTGCTTCATAGCGTCATTTGAGGACAGTCCATTTTCCATTCTTACCGTTTTCTGAGCACGCCATCTGCCACACCCCCTCACTAACGCCCAAGTCTCTGTGCCCTGCAACCCACCTGCCAGGTGTGAAGAGGGAGGTGGTGAAAGAGGGAGAGGAAGGGGCTCAGAGCGATTAACAATAGAAAGTGCGAACAAGTAGGTACACAGCACCACAGAGAAAGGTTCCTAGCTGCATTGAGGGCCCAGCTGAGGTTGGATGTCACTGGCTGCGTCTATTATTATTATTATTATTATTATATTCTGATTTCTTTACAAAGTTTGAATACACTGTTTTTTACAAAAGAGCCTCCCCACCCACAGACATAGGCTTTCATTAATTTAAATACCTTAATATATTAGTTACTGATTTATTTTTTTTTTTTTTGCTTATTGTAGTCTTACACAAGGTGAATTAACATTTTAATTACAGACTTTTCTGGTTATCTGTCCAACTATCCTCATAGTTCTTTGATTTGCAGTCTTATGTTGAATGAGGGCTTCTCCTCTCTTTTCTGTTTTTATTCTTTTTTTATTGATTTTCCCCCCCTACTAGTTAATCTAGAAAATTCGAGCAAATTCTTTCAATGTCCCTCACCCCCCCAACCCATCAAATTGTACAAGGCCATGATTAATCCTCCCTCCCCCTGCACATCCACATCCCTCTGCTCCCGGCCTCTCCCACCCCTCCTGGATCCTTATTCTCACTCTCTAGTTTACTTCAAGCAAACCAGTGGGAGCTTCCGCATAGGGCAGAGGCCTGACAGGCAGTAGGAAGAGGCTGGAAGGACAGTAAGGTGTGGGTCACTGATGTGAATGTGGATGTAATTGCCTGTGGGGTTCAGACTGCGTAAGAGAGTGAAGTGGAGCCCAGAAGGGACCGATCTACAGTGCCCTAGAAGAGGCACCTGGAGAGGATGGAGTACGGGGGAGACCCAGAAGAGGCAGGCTCAGGGTGAAGGATACTGCCCAGCTGACACTGCACTCTGTCCGGTCCAGCACCCTCCATCCCATCCATGACATGAACAAGGCAGCAGGAATCCTACATGCTCCCCTGTGGCCAGCCACACCTCACCCACCACAGACCCCCAGGTCGCAAATCCTGCAGGAAGAACTCTGTTCCTCAAGCTCCTTGGCGAGCTCTGTCCCTTGTGCTGCACCCATCGGCTGTCTTGGAAAATCCAGTTCACCTTTCATGATAAAAAGTGTCTCACAATGTTGTTGTTGTTGTTGTTATGTCGAATCGCTTACGACTCATAGCGACCCTATGTACAACAGCCCTGAACTCTGCTCTGTCCTGTGCCAATCGCACCATCTCCGACACACCCATCCTGATTACCCCAGTCACTGAATCAATCCACCTCATAGAGGGCCTTCCTCTCCTGCGCCGTCCCTCCACCCTACCAAGCATGATGTCCATCTCCAAGGACCGGTCCCTCCTTGCAACATGTCCAAAGTATATCAGACTGAGCCTCAGAATCCTTGCCTTCAAGGAGCCACCCGGTTTAACCCTTTCCAGGATGAATCTGTTTGTTTTCCTAGCAGTCCATGGTACCCTCAATACTCTTTTCCAGCACCACAACTCAAAGGCAAAAAACTTGAAGAATTAAGTCTCAGAAACACAGGGCCCATGAGTGGTCCAAGGACCTCAGAGTCTAGAACTAGTGACCCGATCCCCTTAGGACCCCCCTCCAGCCCCATGTCCATCTGCTCTGCACTCCGGCTTCATTCCCCTCACTACAGTTCAGGGCAGACTCCCGACCAGCTTCCTGAGGTTCTAATCTCAGCCCTGCTCTTCCACACACCGTCCACATGACCTTCAGCAAGTTCCTTCTCCTCTCTGCACCTGTGTTTCCTTGAGGAGACAGCGCCTGCCTCACAGGTTACCTAAGGAGTGAGGCGTGCAATACTTCAACGCACTCAGAAAGTCGCTGGCTCAGAATTAGTACCAGATGTGTCTTCCTTGTTCCATCCCCCCATGCCCGACCCAGGCTTCCAGAAAACTCCGCCCAAATCTAGTCTCCCAGGCTCTGCGGAGAAGAGCCACACATGATAAATCAGCAACATTGAAAACTGGGGTTTCCCGCAGGTCAATAGTGTGATCCAATTTCATGGACAGAGCTGAGGGAGCAAAACTGTGGTGTCTGTCTGGGGAGGGGTCAGCAGGAAAGAGACTGCTTTATGAGAAGAAAGTGAATCTATCTCAAGCTTCACTATTTCCTCACGGATCTTTCTCTGCCGTTTCTTCCCTTATGCGAGCAGAGAAGCATGTTTACTAAAACTGAAAACAGGGAGCTGGTGGTGGTCAAGTGCGAAGCCGCAGGTCAGTGGTGTGAACTCAGCATCAGCTTTGAGGGAAAATGATGTGGCAGTCCGCGTCCAACAAGATTTCAGCCTCGGCAACTCAAGGGGGAGTGGCTGTGCCCAATCCGCTGGGTCTCTGTGCGTCACAACTGGCGTGACAGCAAAGGATCAGGTTCGGTTTACTGACAACGAGGCATCTTCTAGATCCCAGACCCACATCTGACATTTCCGTTTCTCAGAATGTCAGTTGCCCTGCTAACCCTGAGGGTTTGCAACTCCAGCAGTTCGAATCCACTGTTGCCTCTGGAAGGAAAGTGAGCAGTCTTCTTGCCCTAGACCGACGGCCTCGGGAACCATCGCAGGGTCGCTAGGAAGCGGACAGAATGGTTGGCAGCCTGGCCTGGTCTATTTACAGAGCACGTGTCCAGCAGCGTATGCCTCCTTCCGCATCCACAGGACAGTCAGCTTTTCAAACTAGTATTGCATTTTATGTTTTGATAAAGCAAAGATTTCTGAAGTGATAAAACAATCCACATATGCTGATTGGCATCCAGGGGGCTCGTTGTCTGGCAACCAGGTAACGCGGGGAACATTTAGATAAAAGCTTGACACAGACAGTGCGTCCCGGCCGGGGTATCAGTGTCTCTCACCCACAATTAGCTCTGACTGGTACTTCTTGTTGACAGGTTGTTACTCAGAATAACCTTGGATGTTAAAGGATCAGGTGGTCCATTCTAATTTTAAAGTGATCCAGTGGGATGTGAAGGCCAGGTGAGGCTTCCACCGGACAGATAAAGGAACCGAGGCCCGGAAGGGTTGGGTGACCAGTCCTACGGGGCCCACCTTTCTCCCAGGATGGGACCTAGTCATAAACCTGGAGCCTTGACAAGCTGACAAGCACTCTGAGTGAGGGTTATCGCCGCTGAAGAGGGCCAGGCCGCATGCTGTGCAGTAGCTGTTTTTAAGTGCCCTCGAGTTGAGCACGACTCCTGACGGCTTTGTGAACAATGGACCAGCACCCTGTCCAGTCCTGGACCATCCTCATCACCTCTGACACACTTGAGCCCATCGCCGCAGTCACCGTGTCAATCCGTCTGCGTGAGGGGCTTCCTCTCATTCACTGACCTTCTGCCTGTCCAAGCATGACGTCCCTCTCCAAGGAATAGCTTCTTCTCGCAACATGCCCAGAAGAATATGGGACAAGCAGGAGGAGAGAGAGGAATATATTTAAGGCTAGGCCAGGGTCCAAGCACATGAGGGAAGAAAGAAACAACTTAGGCCATAGTTCAAGTCCTACTTTAAAGCCTGGTTTGTTGGGTCCTGAATGTGTCCTTGGGCCTGAGACTAGGTCCCCTTCACTTTCACATCTGACACTTCTAGACGGAAACATCCATCCTCCTGTTCTACGTCTACGGAGAGGCCTGACATCACCCTGAAGGGCCCTGTGCACCTGTTCAGTCGCCTCTCAGACCTAGGCCTTGACGCCCAGGCAGCAAGGTCTCTTCTCCAGGTCTAGGCAGAGGCCTGCGCGGGCCTTAGATGCCGGGAAGCTGGGCCCCAGGTCCCTGGAGGATGGACTGGAGGGAGATAGAGGCCCCAGCTGAGCCCGGCCTTTTGGTTCCGTAGATGTCCTGCCAGAGTAGACGCTAAGGGGGACACTGTGGGAAAGAACGCACTGAGTTACCAATCCTGGGAGACTCTGTGGAGCTGAAAACCCAGGCATGGGAACCAGCATGGAAGTCAGGGAACGCTGGCCACAGTGAGGGGGCTTACACAGAGCAAAGGGAGCAGAGACTCACACGAACCTCGTGATGAAATGAATGTGAAGGTCCTGGATTTTGAGCACTTCCTGCCCATGCTGCAGACAGAGGCCAAGAACAAGGACCAGGGCACCTACGAGGACTATGTTGAAGGCCTTCGGGTGTTTGACAAGGAAGGGAACGGCACTGTCATGGGTGCTGGAATCCGGCATGTCCTTGTCACACTGGGTGAGAAGATGGCAGAGGAAGAAGTAGAGATGCTGGTGGCAGGACATGAGGACAGCAATGGTTGTATCAAGTATGAAGCGTTTGTGAGGCATATCCTGTCGGGGTGACGGGCCCCGTGGGGCGGAGCTCGTCCGAATGGTGCTGAATGGCTGAGGGCTGCCCTTCCTGTGTCCCCAGAGCCCTGTGCCTTCCCCTGTGCGAGACTGTATGTAGCCCTGAGAGCCGCCTAGGCTGTCACAGCTCCTTTCCCATCTTGTAGCTCTCAGATAATACTTGCCAGCAGCATTCACCAAATAAACTTGCTGTCTATGCCCACAAAAAAAAAGAGGCAGAACAAAGACACACAACTTGGGGTGGGCTGTGTTGGGGTGAGCATGGGAGGAGCCGCTTCAGCACTGGGGTACGATGTCATGTAGAAGCACGGAGCTCCGGGAAGAAGGCTGTGAGTGAGAACCGTCACAGAGCGTCTAACCTGCTGTCCTCCACCCTGAAGGCAGAGATAACCCGTACACTCCGGCAGTGACCCAGCTTGATAGCCAGGCCTCTGTCCTCCACCCCAGATTCAGGCATTTCTGCCCAAACAGAACCTTATCAGCCTTGTTGAAACAGGATTTTAACTCAGGGGTCCCTCTCCAATGTGGATAAGAAATACGCAGATCCATTGAGTGGGTCCATCTAATTTGACAAATAGAAAGAATTCCAAGTCAGTCTAATGTCTTCCATTCCTCTCCATGTAATGTGCTTTCAGAAACCGAGCTTACGATGCCTCAGGGGGCAAGTGAAGTGATGTCCAAGAGCAGATGCTGAGGGAGCTGACGGATAGTCTGAGAGTCAACAGAGGGTGAGGCTCACGGATGCAGACGTGGCAATCCTGACCTTGTGTGGCTGAGGGGAGTTGAAACCGGAGGAGCAGATGATGCCACTCGGGGAGGCTGGGGGTGAAGATGGGGGTGAAGCTGTGGGGTGGCCTAGGAGGAGAAGGGTCCATCAAGGAGGGGAGGACGGAGAGAGGGGCACAAGGAGAACATGGAGAAGAGCTGGTGGGAAGAGACGGTGAAGTCCCAGGGGGATGTGACCACAGAAGCCCCCAGAGGACACAACGTACAGGTGAGCAGTGGCATCTCACTCAACAGAAGCCCAAACATTGGCCACTGGGGTGGGGGGTGGAAAGTGTCCATTTCAGAGAGGTGAGAGTAAGGGCAAGAAAAGAGAGGGTCAAGGGGTAGAGGGGGTGCAGAGGCGGTCAAGTCAGTGAGTGGAGACACCCTCACAAGACACGGTGCTGGGAAGGGAGGTGAGGAGACCTAAGCACGGAGATTCAGTGGGAAGTTGTTCGTCCTCGGGGTGCAAGAGGGGTGGACTTGCCCTCACGCTGATGGAGGGGGCCTGAGAGAGGAGAGGTGGCGTTCCGTGGGTCGAGGGGAGCGAGGAGGAGCCTGATTAAATGCAGGCAGGAGGAAGAGTGTGAGGGGACATAAAGGGCACTCCTGGGGATTGCGGCCACGGCCATTCCAACACATAGCAGCCTTCGTGTTCCACCGAGAACTTCCCTGTGGGGCTTGGCAGTGATATAAATGGGAGCAGGCCATTAGAGCTCTCTTGTAGAGTCTCCGGGCAGGTCTGAACTATCGACTTTTTCATTAGCAGCCAACCATTGCAGGACTCTTTACAAAACCCGAAAAACCAACTAGAGTCCTTTGAAAGGGAAAGCAATGGGGGATTACTCATGAATAGGAGAGGGCACTGCATTCATACAGACAGAGGAAAAACAGAGGGAAATGGGGGTTTTAAGGCAGACGAGACGGCTGCACAATTTGACCAAGATACGTGAGGACCCTAAGAAGCACACCAAAAAGGACAAGTTCAGTAAATGCTGAAGACACACGTAATTATGCAAAAACAGCAATAAAGGCCAAAATTAAGTGTGCCTACACAGACATTTGACTATGTGGATCATGAGAAGCTACGATTAACACTGAGAAGAATGGGGTCCCAGAGTACTTCATTGTGTTCATGTGAGACGGAGACGGAGACCAAGAAGAAGCAGTTGTCTAGACAGAGACAGGGAACACTGCGTGGTTTAAAATCAGGAAAGGTGTGTGTCAAAATTGTATCCTTTCCCCAAACCTATTCATTCTTTTTTTTTTAAACCTATTCATTCTGTATGCTGAGCAGAGCGTTTGAGAAGCTGGTCTACAGTAAGATCGTGGCATCAGGATTGAAGGAAGTCTCATCAACAGTGCTGTTTGCAGAAGACACAACTTTGCTTTCAGAAAGCAAAAAGGTCTTGAAGCATTCACTGAAGAAGATCAAAGACTACAGCTTTCAATGTGGATTACATCTCAACATCAAGACAAGAATCCTCACCTGGACCAACTGCCAACATCGAGGAAGAAGGAGAAAAAGTTAAAGGTGTCAAAGATTTCATTTTATTTGGATCGACAATCAACACCTAAGGTAATAACAACAGTCAAGAAATGAGAAAGACGTGTTGCCCTGGGGAAATGTGCAGTCAGGGGTCTCTCCAAAGTGCTCGAGAGCAATCCTGTCAGATTCAAGATCAAGATGCACCTGATCCAGGCCTTGGCCTTCTCAAGGGCTCCCATGCATCTGAAGTTGGACAACTAATGAGGCTGACAGAGGAAGAATCAATGTTGGAACCATAGCGCTGCGAAGGTCCTGAAGGTCCCATGAGCTGCTAAAAGGCTAACAAATCTGTCTTAGGGGTGCAGGCACGGTGCTCCTCAGAGCAAGGGCGGGCACGCTCCCCCGCACATGCTCCGAGCACTGTTATCAGGAGGGGTCAGTCCTGGGGGAAAGGAGCGGAAGACCTTCAACAAGGTAGCCCAACGGTGTCTGTAACAATGGGATCGAGCACGACAGAGGTCATGAAGACGGGACAGGGTGGGGAGAGGTTCTATCCGCCATTCGCAGGGTTTCTGGGAGTTGAGGTTGACTTGACAGCCCCTAACCACCATAGCAACATGGGTGGGTAAGTGTGCACCTATGTCCATAGATGACCACACGTGAGTACACGCAGAGGTGCACCTGTACACATACACGTGTTTGTGTGTGCTGCGTCCTAAAAATATCCCAAGGTGGGGTCTCACGATGGGCTTACTGGGCTACAAGGCTCGGGACACCATCTCACGGCATAGCTCGGTCACTGGGGACAACATAGCTTATAAAGATCATTGACTACATCCTAGTTCGGTGAGTAGGGCCTAAAGTCTTAAAAGTTTGCAAGTAGAAAGATGGCTGCACCCCGGCCAGATAAGCAGAGGTTCTCTCGTACCCTTGTGTAGTTGAGGAAACCAGTGGAGGCTGTTGAAAGAAGGAGAATATAAGGATCTGACTGGTACAAGAGATTGCTTCTCCTTCTCCAGCTGAGCATCTGGTGGATTCTAACTACTTGTCCTCGGGACTACAGCACAGCTTCTTGCCACTAGGCCACCAGAGCTTCCCGGGAATAAGGCTCCAAGATGAAAAATCACGAACCAGATGATACTATGGGAAGCCAAACTTTATACCAAATATTATATGAAAATCCTTGTTCAGGAATTGAAGGAATTACAGATATATAAATTAGGATTTCTCTTGTGGCAGATCCTAGAAAATGAGCTGTTTTTTCCCTGCAGACAGGAGACAGCAAGGGGCCCCCTACAGAGGGAGTGTTACTTCCCTGAGGCATCAAGGTTAATAGTTAAGGGTAAACCAAATTCTTGCATTTGTGAACCCCTCCTTCCTGAGTCAAGCTGAAGGTCTTCAATAGAAAGAGATTGGCTTCATTTGCATTGAATTCTCTTTGTGATTTACTTCCTGATAATTTTCAATAAAGACACAGAGAAGCTTGGCTTGGGGTCTTCAGTCGAGAACTGCAGGCCCCCTGTTTTATGCTCTCTGCTCTATCACATTCCTGGCTGTTTGTCTCTTTATTAATAATTATAAAATTATTCCATTCTTTGGGACCCTCGGTCTGCAACATGATACAATCAAGGAAAACATAATACCTATTGAATTTATAACCAGAAAACTTAACCAACTTCCAGAAGTTGAAAAGAATCTACTTGAACATGGATTAACATATATTGGACTTAATGCTGCTCTTTGTGGCCTAATATCAAACAGTCTTTTTCGATGCATCTTAAATGTGACACAGGCTCAGATAGCAGCTGGCTTACCAATGGCAGTTATTCCACTTATTACAGCATATTTATCTTACAAAGCTGTGCAGAAACTCAGCATGTATTCCTACACTCACTTGTATTTTCACAAAGAAATGCTAGAAGCATGTGTAAGAAGTGGGGGGGAAGGAAAGCTGTTTATAGTATATTTTTTTCTTTTTTCCACTATTTGAATATTTTAACTTTGCAAAAGAAATTAATAGGGAGTAAACTCTCTAATGCTACACCCAAAATGCTGACTGGTGCTGGCAGGGGGGGTCCCTCCTCCCCCAGTTGACCCCAAGTTCCCTCATCTGTAACAAGAGGGGGTGACCCTGTCTGCTTTCTGTTCCCCCCATCAGGCTCCTCTATAAATAAGTCTTGCCTAGACTGTGCCCTGTTTTATATTACTACCTTTCTCTTGGGCAGTTTGCAAAGTGACTAAGCCTACGTGGCATCACCTTCCTGAGAATTCCAGCGACTTCTAGCCCATGTGTGCCTGGCCCCCGCTCTAGGACTTGGCCCATCCTCCGTCCATGTCTGCGTGCTGCTCCTTGATAGTCACAGGCTCTGACCCTGCACTTTAGCTTCAGGTTGTTCATTTAGAGAGTAATTTGACATCTAGTGGTAAAATCATAAAAACGGTTCGCACAGCATCCTGTTTCCTTGTAATTGCCCTCCCTGTGACAAAGTTCAGTCCTCTCCCGTGTGTTCACTGGGAAACACTTCTGCTCTGGGCTGTGGGAGGGGAGGAGCTGGGGTGGGAGAAGCCGTGGGTGTGGGATGTGAAAGGCAAGGACAGCAGGCCTGTGTCGGGAGGAAAGAGGGTAAGGCTGGAGGAAGGCTAGGAGCGATACAGGCATGTGTGCACCTGGGGGGCCCTTCAGATCTGGGTACAGGACAGACACGGAGCTGGACGCAGGACAGACACGGAGCTGGGTGCA